TGTCACCAACCAATTGCCACCAACCAATTGCCACCAACCAACTGTCACCAACCAATTGCCACCAACCAATTGCCACCAAGCAATTGCCACCAACCAATTGCCACCCACCAATTGTCCGCTCCTGTGTCTGGTGAAGGTGGGGTTATCCGGTCCTATAATTTTGCTACATCACAAAGTCCGAATCCCTATGGCACACCGAAGATCATCTGCAATGTCTTAGACAGAGCATGGCAAAGCAAGGCAGTGGTGGCAGTGGTGGCAGTGGTGGCAGTGGTGGCAGTGGTGGCGGTGGTGGTGGTGGTGGTGGTACTCGGCACGGGTGTTCGACCTTTCGCAGCCTCTCTATACATAGTACTCCTAAACAAGTATATGATATGTAACTGCGATTTGCATGAACACCTTGCAGTAAACCATGGATTCGAAGCATACATGGTCCTGCCTCTGCCAGTGAGATTGAATCTTTTTGGTGAAGATTTGCAGCATATGTACTTTACTACGCCATGTGCTTGGAGCATGCCATTTCCAAGGACCCAAACCTGACACCGCGTGGAACAACTGGCACGATTTGCGTTGCGCCGCGCGTGCGACAAAATCACCTAAAACTACCAAAGGAATCAAAACACTGTGCACACCCAGGAAAAAGTGAGGGAAGCCAAAGATGAACTACATCATGACACAACGTCAAAACTGTCCAAACACTGCGCGCGCGCATGAAAGATACGACTTTTCAAAAAAGAGAGCTGGCCACTGTGAGCGTGCACCGTTTAATTGGTTAATTTATATTCAATACAGCAAATGAGAAGCATAGGAGGAAAATATAAAGATGTAATAAAAATTAAAAGGGGGTGGAGTTGTGAAAGTTGTGATTTTGCAAGGCTTTGATGCATTTGTTGATGCTATGACATTGATAGGATTGCGAAAGTTGTGATGTTGTAAGGTTTTGCATTATTTGTAGCTGGTAAGTAGTCTTTTAATTCTGTATTAAACTTTGAAGTAAGTATTTACTTAAAAACTTGTACCTAATTCAATTCCATGCAAATCCTATGCAAAATTGTGTTTAAAGTGATCTTATGAATTGTGTTGCTCTTATTGAATGCAAATCTAGTTCTATTTTTTTATGTTCAATTTAATGTCTATGCAGTTTATGTTTGAATCTAATACAGTTCTAGTGTTTGTCCAATCGAATTTGGCTTTTAACGCAGTTCTAAGTTTCTTCTAGAGTGTGTGTGTGTGTGTTGCTTTTCAAATGAAAGCTTTGTATACAATAAATATAATTTCTTAAGATTTGTTTGCTTAAAATCATACCCCCAGTAACACCCGCTTTCTAGAATGAACTCAGAGTTGAATTAGAATTACATTTGCATTGAATTAGAACTAAATTTGCATTGAACTAGAATCGAATTAAAATAGAAAAAACATGAACATTAAATTGGAAATCAAAATAGGAGTTAAACTAGACTTGTAAAACAATTGAATTTGAATTTTGTATAAGATTTAAACTAGCTTAAACTACAATTCAATTACAAATAGGTTGAAAAAACAAAACTAAAATTGAATTAAAGTAGATTAAATATAGTAAATTAGAACTAATTCGAGAAAACTAAAAGCAAATTAGACTTAAATTAGAATTGAACTGAAATTAGACTAAGATTGAATCAACATTTCATTATTTAAGTTAGAATTGAACTAGAATTGAAAAAGAAATGCTTAACCTGCAGCTCGACTAGAATTTCAACTAGTAATGAATTAGACTTCGGCTGCCACGAGAATTACACTTTAAAATTACATTGGCAATAGAACTAAATTAGAATTGAATTCAATTTCAGTTAGACTTGAATTAAAATCAAATTGGAGATTGAAATGCAGTTCAAAGTAGAAATCAACTAGACTCTATCAAATTAGAATTTAGAGTAGAGGTAAACTCAAAACTCAAAGTAGAGTTAAAATAGAATTCAATCAGGCTCAAAAAATTTGAGTTTCATTCAAATCTAGAATTAAGCTAGGCTTAAATGAGAATTAAATTAGAGTTCAATAGAATTGAATGCGCATTAAAAGGTTTACTTTATGAATTCAGTTCAACTTTTGCTTAAAGAGAAAGACATTTGAAAATGTGCTTATGTTCAATTCAAACGTAACATAAACCGACTTTCAATAAAGTATAATTGAACTAGACTTGTTTTACTTAGAACACGGTTAGACTTGAATTGGAATTTAATTGGAATTGAGTGAGAAGTAAGAGACAGAACTGGTATGCAAAAAAGCTATCAAAAACCTTCAAAGACAAAAAAACAAAACTGCACACCCCATGTCTGAAGTCTTGGGGTGGCTCACGGGGTCTGCAGGTTTGTTTTTTGGGTTTTCTCCAGAACCTTGAGAAAACCAAAAACACAACAAAGCTGCACACCCATGTCTGAAGTCTTGGGATGGTTCATGGGGTCTGCAGTTTTGTATTTTTTAAGGTTTTCTCTCGGTTTTCGAAGTGTTGTTCGGTTTGAGCTGTTTTGTGTGAATTGTATTGATTGTAAGCAAATGCTCACAGATGCTCACAGCTGACAGATGCTCACAAAGACACTGTTTTGCGAACTCTGGTGGTAGCCTGTTCTGTCAAAAAAGATACTGTACACTGTACGACTTAGACCAAGCGCTTGTGGTGCACAGCCTTGACATCTGAATCGACTGATTCCATTCCCCACTCGCACTACTCACGATCACCCTCCGCCAACTTTCTGCTAAGCCTCTAAGCATTACCTGAATGTTCCGATTCGTCACCGAATGGAACTGCCATGCCATGACCTCCCAAACATTTAATAGTAGAAACAAGGTTCGCTACTAGGAACAAGTGCATCGCTTCTAGTAACAAGTGCCTTACTAGTAGTAACAAGAATCAGAGAATTAGAAGTAATTAGAATTAAGTTTAAGTCTTAAATACTTTATGCCGCGCAGATCCACCCAGGCACACTTCTACGCACTGCACTAGCGGCCACCCGACACCGGCCCGACACCCTAGTCTACGCGCATTGAAAATACCAAAGCAGGCTTTTGTACGTCACCCACACTCCAAAGCCAATTCTCTAGAAACTGGGAACAAAATTCCCAGAAACTTGCAATTAAATTGTTAACTAAGCCACTGAGCATCTCCAGGAAGACAATGCCCAGGGACCAAATATCGCACTTTTCATTGTAGGCTTCCTACAATGCGAGGCAAGAACAGAACAAAGAACACCATAACACCATATATGTATAGATTTATATATGTATCTAGCGATGGCCTTCCACCTAGCGATATATTTTGAGGCCGCGAGGCAAGCGAGGCTGAATGGATCGAGACGACGAGACCGGAAGCTTTCGCACCTCGGAGGCGCAAAGAGTGACAACCTGAACGAGCAGCTAAGCGAGCGGAAGCGAAAGGAGGGCACTCACAAACGGCTGAAAAAAAATGAAAACGGTTCTTTCTTTTGTTAAACAAAGAAAAATAAGAAAAACATGTGTTTTATACATCAAAAAACTCCTAAAAGGTCCTCCTACCTCAGGATGTCAAACATGTTGGCCATTTGGGGCTTCCACTTTTTCCCAAAAACAATTCGTTGCACGAAACCTTACCCAGGCCGTGCACAAACCTGGCGTGATGCAGGCTTTTGACCACCTACTATCGACTATCGATCAAATTATCGCACAACTAAATCATGCTTATGTGGGTTTCGGTTTTAGGACAACTCCCATTTGAAAGCATTCTTGTCAGGAGCAGCAAGGAGTAAATTGAGTAGATAAATCCGACCTAAAGCCTTCACAGGTCGCACTCACTCTTGGTAGAAGGAACCTTTCCAGCTCATGAATCCGACAATCCCACCTCTGGAGCAAGGTAGCCCAAGGTTCCCAGGCATCCTGTTAGGTCTGGCATGGCAACACCTGGCACCACATGCTGGTTGTTTCAAGTATTGACGTACTTTGTTGACATGCTTTGACGTTTATAACTTGGATGGATGACCTTCACCAAGCATCAGCCGCTTTGCCTTACAGCGCTACAGCTTTGCAGAATCAAAGCGACTAAGCTACAGCTTTTACCAACTTAGGAGAGCTCATTGAGCTTCCAACAGAGAAGCCAAAGTCAATGAGCTTCAGAATCTTCCTCTCAGCCTCATAGACCCAGTTCCGAGGCTTGATGTCCCGATGCACGATGCCCGCTCGGTGAATATAACTCAAAACGCGGAGCATCTGCACTGCTGCCTGCTTGAAGTCACATTCAGCAAACGAACAATCGTGTAGCGCGTCTTGGAGCGTCCCTCCGCTACAGTACTGCATCACCAGGCTCAGCTCCTCAGAGTTCTCATATACATCAAAGAGCCGAGCAATGTGAGGGTGTTCCAATGACAGGTAGATGATCGCTTCATTCTTCAATTTCTCCAAGTGGTCAGCCTTCATGGCCTTCAATTTAAAGCGTTTCACACATCGAAGACTGTTTTGAGGTGCTCCAAAGTCAGCGTGGAGGCGGCGACATAGCACTACATCACCACTAAAGCCATGCCCAATGACGTGCGGAGGATCAGCCGTATATTCATAATCACAGAGAAAGCTCTTATTCCAATGCGTTAAGCATGCAACCAACTCTAGGGAGAGCTTCCGCTGACTTACCAGGCCATTGACCTCCTCTGAGATAATGGAAGCATCAATGGTTCTCCTTTGCAAGGACATCTTCTCACCAGACCAGTCCTTTGAGTTGTGGCCATACTTCCAGCTCAAGCGCTTTCGGTTGATAATCTTGCCCAAATAGTCGCTGTACTCACCGGAAATGCTTTTCTCAATTAACAAATGTCTTGCTCTGGCTGGCAGATCTCCCAGTCGGTTCTGCTGAAGTGCCAAGCGCACCAGCTGCAAACGAAATCCATGATTGGATAGGACAGTCCCACGAAGACCCTGTACATGTTCTAGTGCTTCCAATAGACTGAATCCTTCCCGCATCAGCCAGCATATCACCATGCAAGCTGACCTGTTGTGCCCAGCCTGGCAATTCACCAGCACTTTTCTCTTCTCCGAGAAACACTTCTCGAGGAACCGCTCACAGGAGGGCCAAGACATCTCCACAATGTCAAAAAACAGCCGATCCTCTGAGTCCGCCTCGTGATATTCGACATCATATTGCCTGAAATGTGAAGCCAAATCTGTGCCCTCTGGCAGCAAAGCTTGCAATTCCCACCAGCCTGGGTTGCACACATCCACTTCCAAGTACGAAAGATCAATTAGACTTGCTTTGGGGCTGCCAAAGTGTGGGTCAAAAATGGGACCACCCCCCAGTGGTCTTTTCCGTACATGTCCCCAAAAAGGAGCAGATTTTGACCCACACCCCTAAGCCATGCCAAGCTGGCCAATCAAGTTGAGTACAGCCCCAATACCACGCCGCTCAAGAAGCTCAAGGTCAGTGGCATCCGCCAAATCTCCCAAAAAGAGTCCATCCAAAATCCTTCGAACCAAACGAAGAGACGAAGGGATGAGAAGAAAGGATTTGGAACTCAGCTTTTTTGGGGTCGCGAGAATAAGTCTTGCGCCTGGAAGCCTTGCAAATGAACATACATACCATACCATACCCTTACAGTATATTACATTACATTACGTTAGGTTACGTTCCCTTACGTTACATGACATACCTGCATTATACTCATGTTTATCTACGTAATTGTGTTTCTATTTGCACATATGTTATATGTATACTGTGCATACTGCAAATATATAAGTCTGATCCGTGCAAACTGTTCCAAGGCAAAACGTTCGAGTTTGCCAACGTGCTTAAAGCCTTTCACTCAACTTGGTTTACTCAGATGCAAATCAAGTCTATTGTCCTGGCAGGCTGCTCGCCAGGCCTAAGGACACAGGATTCACCCATCAAATTCCTGAATCTCTGAGCCCACTCATGCCTCCAATGCGGTTGCAGGTATCACTAGACCTAAACTAAGGCAAGCGCTTCCAAAAACTCCACGGAACTGTGTCAAGGACAGAAGACCTCTGTGTGTCAGAATCAAATGCCACTTTGGCCCCCGAAGTTGGTCATAAATACTGTATTACTATATATTATATTGTATTATATGTTGGTTTATTTTACTTTATGTTGTTTCATTATATATATATATTATATATTATTTATATATATATATATGTTGTTGTGGGTTCTTCTTTTTGACCTGTTTTGTTGCTTCATGTCTTTGGGTATTCGTCCTGTACTTGTTCAATAACAATGCCTGTTGAGATTGGGCTTTCAGGTCATTGCAAGTGTCTAGATAAAGGCAAACAAGATTGCGCTCAGCACTTTGCACTTGGTCAAGAGCATTCCTGAGCAATCAGAGATGATAAGCGATGACAAGTGTACACAAATACTCGATTGTCAACGCACAGTAGGCTGCAGGCTGCTCTTCCAAGGTCAGCGGTTGGAGCTTTCTCTCATCTTCGGTCCTGACACAAGCCCGACCTTGGCCAAAGAGCTCCAAAGAGCTTCCACCAAGAGCTCTGGTTCTAAGCATTCGACACAACAGTCGGTCTCCTGTGCTCTTGGCAAGCTCCTTGGTCATCTCTGCTTGAAATGGTCAAATCCGTGCTGAGCAAACCACAAACGGCCAGAAATGCAGACAACAACCACAGTTTTGCAAAGCTTTGACCTGCCAACATTCCTAGACAACAAACATCCCCTTTAACGCTTGGAATTGTGGCTCCTTTTGTTTGGCCAGCTTCCCGCCTCTGTTCGGCGCGCACAGCTATTGCATGCAGCCGCTGGGCCCAAACAGCGTGCCTGGCCGAGGCATGAGGGGCCGTGCCTTGCCTCAGAGCTTCACGTCCGTCGACCTGCTTCCCTCTGGTCACAAGCTTTGGTCTGGAAGAGCCTGCAAAAAATAGAAAAAACTCGGTGTTATTGCAATCCAGCTACTTTTAGAGTCCAATCTGAGCTCCCCACTACTGCTGTGCTCCTCGTGAATCGCAGCTCCACCTATGTATTGAGCTCATAAACCAGCAAGCCTCCCGTCTTGCGTCCGATTCTGTCTTCATCGTGTCCGATGCCTTTCGGCCAGAAGGGTAGACACGGCCTGGATGCAGGACACTTCCTGCTGAACAAATAGCCACACAGAGTTAAACTAGACTGTTCACGAGATTTTCCGTGAAAGTCACACTGAGGCCTGGGCAAAAGTGAGAACGGGTACACAAGGAATGAACCCATGTTGATTCAGATAAACATGTAGGAGAAAAGCATACAGCGATGTCAGTGGCGACAGGATCTCAAAATGTCCTTGCTTGAATGGTTTTCTCATTCTTTCTGGGCATCAACAACATGGTTGTCAAAAGAACTAAATATAGACTGTTTAATCACCTGTTAGTCTCATGTGTGGGTCAATTCATTTTTAGAAGACTGGCCCTTGAGTAAGGCAAATGCTCCCGTCAATGTTAGAGTCAAAACCATTCTCCAACGACTCACAAAACGTCGGAATGACTGTGTCCAGAATGGTGAAACGAACCCCGCACAAAAAGCTTCGGTCCCTCGAGGTGGGCCCTGAGCTCTGCAGCACCCGTTCCCAAGACACAAGCTGCCTGGGCTGAAACGGCTTAAGGCCAGATTTCAGCTTTGAAATGGAGACGACGAGGCTCCGGCTTCTTCTGCGCAGCTGAGATGAGTTTGAGTGTCACGACAAATTCTTCCCACGCAAGCCCTCGTTTCTGCCAGTCTGCAATGTCCCAGATTCTCTTCAGGATCTGCACGGAAAGGGCTGAAAGGGATCGTAACATGTTGCAATAATGCTGCCATAGTGTGATTCACATAATGAATGAATGAATGAATGAATGAATGAATGAATGAATGAATCCATCTTGTCTTCCTCCGATGGGCCTCTCGTGGCAGCTGGGACTTGTTGAGGAAGTCAAAGGCCGCCTTGCAAAGAATCTAGTCGCTTTGGTCATGCCTGGTGCTGGCAAGAAGAGATCAAAGCCTTTCCACGAAGTATGTCTCCATCAGAGCACGCTGCTCGCCACAGAACTGCATAGTACCTCCGCAAACTCTCCTCTTAGACTTGTCTCTTTCTGCAAACGTCGTGTAAAGCACCAAAACCTACAACAACACCATGGGAATCGAAGGCACTCTTTCTCGACATTGCTGAGGGACTGAGCGACTCTAGAGACGGCCTGAGCGTCCTGACAAGAGAGAGAGAGAGAGTTTTGACTTGGACTTCAAAAACCTTCAAAAACCGAAGGCGAGTAGTGCCGACATCTTGCCTGATGCAAGTGGTTATCCATGTGCCTTGGCTGGAAGTGTTGCAAGGCCAGCCGATCTCATTGCACTGAGAGTGACACGTGTGGCTCCCAGGCCTTCCACAACCAAAGAAAAGGACTCAGAAAACGAATGTAATGGGTGAAGAAAGAACATTGAGGTGCAAGGAGAAAGCATGAGAAAGCTAGAAAGCCAAGAAAGGACAACAAAGAACAAAGGAGTCAATCGAGCCAGCTTGTTGTCACCTCCAAGGGGCCGCCCCATTCGATAGGCATCAGGCACCAAGACCTGAAGGCTTATGAAGGCTTCAAGAAAGCAAATCAAAATGCAAGGATCCTTTAAAAGAAAAAACTGAGAAGGACAAGGGAGAAACGAAAGTCAGGAGCAACTACGTAGAAGGACATTTGCTATGCCCAAAAGGCGTAAACAAGTAAGTCTGAGTAGAATGTCACCCAAAAATTCAATACATATAATACATATAAAAATAGTGTCATTGGAGCAGGTTGCTGATGCAAATGATGCACGACCCATTCACCTTGCATCTTCTGCATCACCAACCCACCAAAAATTATCTACTGCGCAAAGTAAAAAGAACAAAAACAGTAGGCTACATGGTTTACAAGCACTGTTCCGCACCTCTTTTCCAGACTCCCTAAAGACTCACTTCGTTGGCAGAAAATAACTTCAGCATCTGTGGGTGCGGCCTTTTCTCAGGTGAACATCCCGGCACTCAAGCCAAACAAAACAGCTGCGATAGGACCTATCTTCAACAAGGCATGTCAAGTCAAATGCAAGTATTCTGCAGCTCTGTGCCTCTGCCTGCAATCCATACAATTGACTCAACCAACAACCATGGAAGTGGACAACCCCGTTTGTTGAGGAAAATAGTCTTATGAGGAGCCACTTCTTCTATGATTGTTGAAAGGCAGCCCCTAAAGTCTTTCTGATGCCATGGCACTCGCATCTTCACTTTTTTGACGAGGTGAAACGCTTGAGAAGTCAAGTCTGACGATCACCTGACAAGTCTTGAATTGGACATCTACAATAGAGCCTTCAAACTTTGTGCGTCTTGGACATCTGGAAGTGTGCCTCTTCTTGGACTTCGACTTTGCGGAATCTGTCTCCGCTTCCTTTCCAAATTTTGACGGTACAAGTTGTCCACTATGTTCTCTGAAGTGCAGTCCTCTTCAGGAAAGTCAGTATTCTCCGGTAGGGCCATGACCTCAGACTGGATGAGCTGCCAGTTCTCCAAGGCTCTATGCTGCACAGCAGCTCAGGTGGAGACATTTCTTTGCCAAATGAACCTGAGCGTGAATCTGTCGAAGCATCCACAGTGGCAGGTTGTTGCTACTCTTGATGAACGACAACCAATATGTAGAAAAGAAAAGAACCCCACACTTTAGCGTATCCCAGGCGGTCGAAAGCAGTGGCCAAGATGCCAAATGAGTGCAAAAAAGCCCACAAGCCACACCACATACCTCAACTCGTTGCATTCCGGACCAGTCAACAAGTTCACATACAAACAAGCATTTTTTCATTCGTGCCGTCGGTTGACGAACCATTCAAACCCCGCCATTGTCGAATAGATGAAACTCATCGACTTCAAAAATGAAATTGGATGTGTGGAGGGTCCAAGCAAGGCTTCATTCGTCGGGGGTGTGTATGGGACGAGTACTGGGGGAGTCCAGATCTTATGCCACTTCAGGTGTTGGAATTCCTAAAGTGCACAGCAGAATTCTGAGTTCTCTTTGCGCATGCTGCATCAACACAAAGCCAAACATTCTCTGAGGTCAAGTCTCGGTCCAATCTGAAGCTGTCCCTTCAAAGCCCTGACCAATGGCCCTCAGCAAACAGCAATCCTTTAGATTAGCGTGAGCTATCCTGCATCCTACCTAGGAGCTAACTTAGCCCATACTCAATTAAATAGGCGTAGTAGGAAGGCAGAGCGGCTTTCGAAAAAAGGGCATGCCTTCTGTTATCTTCTCTTTTTGTTCCTTTGCTTCCATCTCTGCTTCCAGCCAAATGTTCAGCGATCCAGCCGGGCGTTGAATAACCTTCAGCTTTCTGCTGCCAAAAGTATCTACAAGGGATTGTGTTTCGTGTTTCTGCCTGGCCATCCATCGCTTGGCACTTTCGGAGCTCCTAGCTTCAACAAGCTACTCTCAAGTGTGTAGCTCCTAAAGTTCTGACCTATAGCCTATATTGTTTCAGAGAAATGCAGCCTCTGCTGTTACGGGAGAGTATTTGACTAAGCTAGCAATCTACCAATTGACGAAATGATGCAGAACTGAGTCTGAGCCGAGATCACAGCGATGCACCCGACCAATTCCAGCAAGAATGGCCACCCAAGTCAGACGGTGCGCAATGATGCTGGTGATGCTGTCGGTGCTGAGCTCTTTTGCATGTTTATGGAATTGCAAGTACAAGATGTACAAGTATAGACATAGACTTACTATAGGTGAGTTGAGTGAAGTTTTGAAGTTTCCAGCAGGGTTTGTGCTCAATGTTCATTTCATTCGTGAGTTTGAACCAAATTACTTTTAGGATTCATTGAACGTCAAAGGAAAGCCAGGAGTATACTTTGAACCGTTCCAGTTTTTGTTGCTGTGGCACATTCGCCCAATTCTCTTTTTGGTGAATGCGACTTTGCCCTCTGAACCAGAAGGTTGCACAGTCCCAGGTCCCAGTTCGTTGTGTTCAGAAAGAGTTCGGAGGGACATTGGCCCGTTGAGAAAGGGACACCTACCTGAGCCCATATGCACTCTGAAAACGAGTTCGTTGTGTTCCAGCCAGCAACTATTTTTGCTAAAAGAATTAGCCGTGTTAGGGGATTGTGTCACAGCAAGGTCCTCCTTTGAGTTTCCTGGAAGATCATGCTGTTGCGACACCGTAACGTGATATTTAACTGGTTACCCATTGTGCAAGTTCTACACAGCCTGACACACCGTATCACAAGGCAACAAGTGGATATGCCTGGTTGATGTGTTTTGCAGGACCTTGCTGCTAGCATGCAGGATGGACAAGTTTGCTTCGCGGCACATTGGCGTCGGAATACGTGGGTTGAAAAGAGCAATAATTCAGGCATACTAGCTCAAAGAGCATGTAATTCACGCTTCGGAAGTCTAACAAGGACGAGGTTCACGGTGCGTGTATGCATATATCTGTGAAGTAAGACTGAAAAAGGTGTGTCGACCAAAATGGTTTTGTGTATACTAGCATGAAACTACCAGTAACAAAGGCATCGCTAGGGATCCAAGTACCTTCTCAGAGGTTCGATGGAAACATCCACACCATGACTTGGGCTAGCATGGGTGGCGAAAGGCTGAATTGGCACTGGTCCTCACAGGCGCTTAGGCGTGCAAGACATCCAGCAAAAGGGAAAGAGGCACAATACAAGCTCGCTAAGCTCAAGGTATGGAGCATGAGACTGTGGGGAAAGAACCCAGGTTGCAGCCAGCCACCGCACTGCGCCAACGTAGCCAAAGAAGAAGGCAGTGGGCCAAGGTTGCTCCAGGAAGCCGCACTCAAAGCAAAAGGAAGCTGGTTAGGAGCCTAGCCGGCGCAAGACAGCGCGAGCGTTTTCACGCTGTAGAGCCACTGCAAGGGCCTGCAGGAGCCGGTCATGTTCAACTGACGCGGACTCGTTGCTGCGGGCGGCGATGGCCGTGGCAAGGGCTTTCCACACTTGAGTGGCGGTCGGACCCCAGCCCCCTCCGCAGGCCTCGGCCACCAGGGGAAGAAACTGTAAGCCTTCGGCCAGGCAGGTGGTCTGCGTGTCTTGGTGTTTACATTTCCGGGATTCATACTCAGTAGCGGCATGGCTGCCAGAGACAGCGCTATGTGGAAGCAAGGCCGCCCGCATCCCCGAAGTGACAGCCAAATCAAAAGCGGCTGGGCCATGCATACCCCAGCTGCCAACCCAGACATCAGCAGGGCGGCGTCCAGGGAGAGTCCGGCCGTCGTCGGGCCCCTCGGCGTGGTCAGGGCGAGGC